CCATCCAGCTGGACTGAGAGACATGTGTCTCATTTCAGGTACCCACCTTCAATAACGGAGCTCCAGAAAGGCTGTGCAAAGCAGTTTCGACAAAAACTCACAACTCCAGTAAAATTTATTTAGGCTCGAATGCTGTTTACCGAGTTAAAATAACCTCAATGTACACGGGCTTCTTCCAGAAGGTGCTCAGAACTCCTCCTGATCAATGTAAGTGCCGAAATTACACGCTAAATTGCAAACAAAACCTCAAGCGAAATTCTACACAACAATGCATGTTGAATGCAGGAGAAGTGATATGCACGAGTCAATGTGACCGATTCCAATGCGTTTCGCAACCTGCCTCACAACATCAACCAGTTACAATCGGCAGAATGAATGGATTGACAATGTCAATCTCCACCATTCCTTCTTCCTTAGCCATTAAAATGGCAAAGCTGGTTGTCATTTGCTTGTTTGCTTGCAACTTGAGTCGTGGTGTGAGTACTTCCACATAGCTGTAGTGGTTGATGAGTATCCGGTGAGGAGGCGACCAGAAGTTCAGCACCCAATCACCTCCACCTCCCAACTTCACGTCCACATTCACCACGTTGAGACGGTACATCTTAATGGAGGAGGGCGAAGCAAAACATCATTCCCATAACAAAACTCCAATGGTACTTGCTGCAAGGTAGATTCGTGCTGAATGGGGTGCTTCAGCAGTAAGCAGGAACAAGAATTAGTGTTGGCTCACAGTTCGTGCTAATGCAAAGGATTCTTGCCTAGAGCTCTTAATTTTGCTACTCCACACTCAAATCTCCTCTTTTTTAAAAATCTTTAGTGAAATTCCAACCTCAAATCAAAGCAACCGTCCTATCATCGAATTTAGTCCACATCAATGTGTCCTATCTCAATCGTGCTGCGCCTAACCCTCTCGCCTTCATTGTTCGTATCTGCCAGACCAAGGACTACAATCAATGCAAACTGCATCCACTTTATTATGAGGTCGTCAGTTCCTACAGTTTCTATCAAAATCGTTCTGTCTGGCAGGTGAACGAGATGCGAAGTAGCGCTCACCTTAACGCACACATTCGGCCACCAGACGACAAGAATGTGCAAGTCTCTTTGTACGCGTATCCCGGCGATTCGTTCACAGGGGAAGAGCTTCTGTTAGGATCCACAATTTCAGCTACCCATTCACATGGTTAGTTCACAAAATTAAACGCCCTTGGCAATAAAGTAGAAACGGATATTCATACGTTTTGTGGGGAAAAGTCTTCAATGGCCAAAACCGTATACTAATGCTCCACTCACACCTCTTGCCTCTGCTTCACTGGGA